GACGTCACGGCGGAGTCGCCATGGCGGTAGTGAGCAGCCTGGCTTCGGCGCTGGAGTCCTACAGGGGTCGGGACCGCCTGGTGAGGCTGGGGCCGAACGGGCCAGCGTCCTGGAATTCTCCGAGAGCTCAGAGATGAGGAGACAGAGGCCAGAGAGGGGCAGTGTCGCTCAGGATCCCACATCGCCTGGGTCCTGCCCAAGCTGGGCTCCAAGTCCATCCCCTGGCGTTGGCCGCTCGGGTTGTACCTCCAGCCCAGCCCGGCTGAATTTCCCCTTGCAGACCAGAGATCTGTGCTTGACAGTTAGGATCGGACCAAGTTACTCCCTGGGTCGTTCACTGCCACATAGTTGGATTTAGGATGTAACAGGGCTCCCCCTTGGGCTGGACATTTAAGTTCTGCCAAATCCCCTGCAGTTGAGTATGAAGGTTAGTCCATCCGGGACCCTGAGGTTGGACTTTTTTTTTAATACCGGGGATCGAACTTGGGACCTTGGGCTTGCGAAGCAGGCGGTGGCACCACTGAGCTACACATCCTTGGCCCTTCTGAGGTTGGACTCTTGACATGATGTTGACTGATTCTTTTTCTCTTTCTTTTTTTTTTTTTTTTTTTTTTGAGACAGGTTTAACCTGGAACTCACTATGTAGCCCAGGCTGGTCTCGAACTCACAGTGATCCTCCTGCCTCAGCCTCCCGAGTGCTGGGATGACAGGAGTGCGCCACCACGCCCCGCCGTTACTGATTCTTTGCCAGCGCGTGTGTAAATTGCACCTGGGAACGTGTGTGCGCACATGTATGCACTGGTGGTTAGGCATTTAGGTTCCAGCCAAATTCCCTATGATTTGAGCAATTCAGGTTTTCACACCCTCTTCTTAAATTGGACATTTAAATTGCGGTGTTTTACTGTCACAGCGGATCCGGAAAGGGTTACAAGTAAAAGAATATATAGCGTAACGCAAGCGGTGTTTGAGGAGCAGATGACAAATGCAAGCTAGAAGGGCGTTGACCCTAACCCATTCCATAATGCTCCGACTACCCTTTTCAGTGGATTCCTTTTTACGAAAGTCATTCAAACAAATTGCCACTTTGGTGGGTTGAGGCCGGATCCCCTGCTCCCAGCTTGCAGCCCAGCTAAGGGGTTTGGCTCAAGCAGGTTGATGAAAATCTGTATTTCCACCTCCTCCTCCCCTCCTGCCTGAGCCAGGACTCTCACACTCTGTGCCTTTTGGACAGTGATGTCACGTTCCCCATTTGTCCTACCTGGAGGTGGTTTTATTGATTTATTTATCTCGGTATTGGGGATTGAACTTGGGCTTTTTGCGCTGAGCTACATCCTTGACTTTTTTTTTTTTTGTTTTGAGACAGGGTCTCACTATGTAGTTGAGACTGACCTGGAACTCACTAACCCAGGCTGGTCTCGAACTCACAGCAATCCTCCTGCCTCAGCCTCCCCAGTGCTGGGATGACAGGCGTGCGCCACCACGCCTGGCTTTAAACTTCCAGCTTTTGTTGGAAGCTTGTTGACTTAGAATCTTCCGCACACCCCTTCAGTCAGGACATGGGTGATTCAGCTTATTCCGAAAGAGCTGTTGACTGTTCTGGTTTCCCACAGATCCGAACATTGGGGTACTGCTGCCAGCTGGTTGGTGGGGTCCTGCTCCAACAAGGTCCTGCCGGGTCGGAGGTGGGGACGCGCCTGCTGGCGGTGTCCGCCCAGCTGAGCCATTGCAGGACTGTTCTGCGACTCTTCGATGACCTGGCCATGTTTCTGTACACAAAGCACTATGGCCTGGGCACAGAGGTAATGAGTGCCGGTGTGGGCTGTAGGGGGAGTGGTGCAATCCTCAGGAAACCTTGGGCTTCAGCCTCGGTTGGTCCCTGTTTTATAGGATTATCCTGAAGTGCTTCCTGTTGGACAATTTATTGTTATTATTATTTTTTTAATTTTTGAGATAAGCTCTTGCTATGTAGCCCAGGCTGGCCTTAAACTCATGGCGATCTTCCTGCCTCAGCCTTCCAAGTGGTCGGATTATAGGCGTGAGCAATTTATAATATTTAAATTTTTTTTTTCTTGAGATGAGCTGATATCCTCTTGATTTTAATGAATTAATGCAGTGGTGCGATCAAACCCAAGGCTTTATGCATGCGAGGCAGGGGTTCTGCCACTGAGGTACATCCTCGGCCTTTGATTTCAATCAAAAAAATAAAAATGAAATTTACCCGTTTGTACGTCCCGACAGTACATAATAAAAAAGTCTCCCTTCTCCTTGACCCTCTGGGTCCCAGTTCTCAGAGGCAGCTGCCATGGTCAAGTCTCCTTGTGTCTCCTAGGTGAGATTTCCCGTAGCCGCACAGGCAGATACTGCTGCTGACAAACAGCCGTGGTCCCCTCACACTGTTCTGCCCCTTGCTTTTTTCAACTGAACAGTACAAGTAAGAGATCATCCTTATCAGTTCAAACAGAGCCTGTGCCTTTTTGCTACTGGGAATTGCTCCCAGAGCTCTACCACGGAGCTATACTCCTACCCCTTGTTATTTATTTTTGAGGCAGGGTCTCACTATGTAGTTGAGACTGACCTGGAACTCACGATGTAGCCCAGGCTGGTCTCGAACTCCCAGCGATCCTCCTGCCTCAGCCTCCCCAGTGCTGGGATCACAGGTGTGCGCCACCATGCCTGACCTCATCCCTTGTTATTTTTAAATTTGAGACAGGGTCTTGCTAAGTTGCCCAGGCTGGCCTCAAACTTGTAATTCTCCTGCCTCTGCTGCCCAAAGTAGCTGAGATGGCAGGCATATACCACCATGCCTTGCCCTTTCCCTATTTTTTGTTTTGTGAAACAGCGTCTCACTATGCAGTTCAGGCTGGTTGAACTTATTATGTTGCCCAGGCTGGCCTTGGACTCAGGACAATCTCCTGCCTCAGCCTCCCAGATGTTGGGACTATAGCACCACCATACCTAGCCTTGGCCCCTTCATTCTTTTTTTTGTACTGGGGATCGAACTCGGGCCCTTGCGCCCACTGTGCTTGCGAGGCAGGCGCTAAAATCCCCAGCCGATTCTTGATGGCCACTTAGTACATCACCGCATTAACAGATGGTGATCTAACTGCCCCTGTGGATGGATGTCAGTGCATTCCTAATATTTTGCTGCTACAAGGGCCCTGCAGGGAATAGTCTGGTGCCTGCTTCACTGCCTGTGTCTCTGCCATGTTGCTTATGTGACAGCAGAGGGACGGGGCCCCGAGAAGCATGGGGGAGGTGGGAAGCCAGGCCTTCGTGTGTCCCATTGCTCTGGCAGCCTTGGGCCTTGCCTCACTGGGTAGTGCGTGTCATAGAACTTGGGGCAGACGCTGGGGTTGAGGGTGGCTCAGGGCACCAGGTTTTGGGTTCGATCCCCAGCACTGCAGAAACAAACAAACCATAAAAAGGAAGAAGAGGAACCGCTTGGGCAAATGTCCCAGGCACTGTGCAGGGCCAGGAGCTCACATGTGCCTCGTGGCTCGGCTGCCTGGGGCCCCGACTCCCACAGAGGCAGGCAGGCGGCCTGTCCTGGGCCGGGGCAGGGGCGTGAGCTGTGTGCTGATGGGGCAGCCGGTGTCCTGGTCCCGCCCAGGTCCTGCACTGCAGAACCCCCGGGACCTGTGTGTGGGAACTGGCAGCTGCCCGGAGGAAGGCAGGGTCCCAGCGTGGCCATCCACAGGGTTCTGAGACCTGCTGCTCTGTCCCTCGGGTGTGGAAAGCAGAAGTCAGGCCCAGACGTGACCCCGGGACGGTGGTGGGGAGAGGCCTTGCATGGCCGCAGTCCTAACAGGCAGCGGGAGCTCGGACTGCAGCCCCTCTCCTCCCGGCCCTGCAGGAGGAGGACGCCCTGGTGCGCTGCGTGTCGGTGCTGGGCAACATGGCCGACCAGCTCTACTACCCCTGCGAGCACGTCGCCTGGGCTGCCGACGCCAAGGTCCTGCACGTGGACTCTGCCCGGTGGTGGACACTGAGCACGGCTCTCTGGGCCCTCTCCTTGCTCCTGGGGGTGGCCAGGTAAGTGACCTCACAGAGGCTGCCGGCTGGGCGGGGTGTGGCCGCCTCTTCCTGTTGTGTGTGCTGTTGGTAACTAACTTTTGTAATGAATAACCACACACTTGGAACCTTGAAACTGCACTGATTGATCATCTTCCGGGAGGTTGTATTATGTTACGGTCCTGAAAATCTGAAACAGGCCTACAGGTGTGTGCAGGGCTGGTCCACTTTGGAGGCTCTGGGGGAAAATCCGGTCCTGCCTGCCCCAGCTCTTAGAGGCACCCTTGGCTCACGGCCCCCGGTGCTTGCCGCAGTCCTCCTGCCTCAGCCTCCTGAATGCTGGGATGACAGGTGTGCACCACCATCCCTCGCCTCCCTCCGCCATCCGCAGAGCCAGCAGCGTAGTGTCTGCCAGCCTGTGACTCTGGAGCTCCTGCCTCCCTCTTAGGAGGGAGGTGGTGATGTGGTCCCAGATCACCCGTGGTCATCTTCCATCGCAGTGTCCTTCTCTGTGTCCCTTTGCCACTTCAGGAAACAGTGTCAGGTCCCAGGAGGAGTTAGGTTGTGGACATCTTGGGGAGGGGCCTTGATTCTGCTGAGCAGACCTGGGAAAAAGAGGCAACTCCAGGGCCAGGAGGGAATCAGCTGGTGTGACCGCCTTGTCCTGGGTCCCCAGCGCCTACTTGCCTTTGCTCAGCAGAGCCCCTGGGGGAAAACAGCCAGCCACTTCCCCAAACCACAGTTTCTAGAACTTCCCAGCAGTGGTTTCCTCCCCCACATCTGCTTTGCGGATCTGCTGAGTACGCTTGTTCAGAAGCCCCTGCCAGGTAACCCCAGCATGCTGGGAGGCTGAGGCAGGAGGTTTGCCCACTTGAGCTCAGCCGGGAGAATTCCGTGACTTTGTCAAACCCTGACTCAAAACTAAAAACCAGAGGAGGGGTGGGGTGGGTTCCCCCCAAAGCAGAGGATTTGGGACCCCCAGGTCCCCGTGACTCAGCAGCTGGGAAGCGTCCCCAAGCCTGGAGCAGGCAGGGAAGGGAGGCCTTGGGGAGGTGACCCCATCCCTCGGTCTCCGGTGTCGCAGGTCCCTGTGGATGGTGCTGACGCTGAGGCGGAGGCTGCAGGGCCCCACGGCTGCCTTCACCAGGTGCGGGGTGTGGGCCTGGCCAGGGAGGGGCCGGGAGGGGTCACGGTGGCGACAGCCTGTGCGCCCAGGCTCCTGGGGCTGCACCGTGGGCTCTGGGGGTGGGGGGCGCAGAACCTTTCACAGATGGGGAAACGGAGGCTCGCGAGAGCAAGGGCTCCTGCGGCACCTTCATGGCTGCACCCTGTCAGGCAGGGTCATCTGGGGAGGAGCCTGCTTCCCGAGGATGTGGCCCTCGTCCCTGTCCCTGTCCCTGTCACGTCGGGAGTCTGGAGGACAGAGCCATGGCCTCCAGGCTGTGGGCTCCTCTGGGGGGTGTGGCAGGGCCGGTCCCTGGGAGGGCTGGCTGTCCTCAGTCCCCCCTGCCCTCCACCCTCTGCCCCACAGCCGGCTGCCCCGGAGCAAGCGGAGGGCCCTGGCAGTGCGGATGCGGTCGGAG